CTGCACCTCCTCCAGCAGCTTCACACCTTGACCTGCACAGGGCACGGGTCTGAGTGTTGTCCCCACTCAGACTGTGCCACAGGTACCATCTCTCCCTGTCTCCAGGGATCTCTTACTGCAGCATTGTTTCTACCACAGGTAACCAAAACAGATCCAAGTGCTAAATACATCCCTGCAAACTTTACAGTTTTCCATGCTCTGAATTTTAGAAGTCATTTCAAATGTTTTCTTGTCTTTGTTTCCATTCAGCAGCAGCATTAGCACTTCGCCTGATCACTGTTTTAAGGTTGCATTTAACGAGGTACAAAAAGATCAGGTCAATTTGCAGTGAAGAAAATTAAATTTACTAAATGAAAACTTTACAGTTTTCCATGCTCTGAATTTTAGAAGTCATTTCAAATGTTTTCTTGTCTTTGTTTCCATTCAGCAGCAGCATTAGCACTTCGCCTGATCACTGTTTTAAGGTTGCATTTAACGAGGTACAAAAAGATCAGGTCAATCTGCAATGAAGAAAATTAAATTTACTAAATGAAGATAAACCAAGTCTTGCAGGTAGCAATCACTGGTACAAAATGGCAACTACGTGTCCACAGACCAACAAATGTGGATACTCTAGAGCTACCTTTCAAAGAGTACTCCTTAATTAGGATTATCATGTACTTTGGTTCTTCCTTTTAACCCTGACATTGAACCTTCATTTTAAGTATTCCATGAAGTACAGGAACAATCTTACAAACTTATCTTCTGCCCTGTCAGCCTTAGAAATCCAGGATTTAGAGTAACAACTACAGCTGTAATAGCCTAACATGCTGTCATTTTCATGTTTACATTTTCCTATTTTATATTAAGAAACACAAACCCAACTCATTTAGGAGAAAAAACACTTTAAGGATTTACTTTTAGATCTCCCAGTGTACAATTTGAAAATATGCAATGGGAGATGAGAAAGGATGGGTTACTCAATGAAATATTGAGGTGAAAGGATCACAATTCCCTTGTTCATGTTATTTTCTTTCCAAAATGTAATGAATCACATGGATACTCTGTCTCCTGCAGCAGAACGTTTTGGTAATCCTCAACTTAAATGTTCAGCCCCAAAGGACAAGTTTTCTCTTCTGTTCCTCAGGAGATACAAAATCTCTCCAGTGGCACACTAGGCCAGCATTCCTCTTTCCTAAAGCAACATAAAATGTCTTGAGGTGATTCTTTTTTTCCAGCAAAAAAACCCCTAGACCACCACCCCAAAAAATGCACCATGTCAGTGTGTTGGTGTGTCTCTGCCAAGCCACCACCTACGATCCTTTTGGGGCAGTTTTTCAACCATCTTTTATATACCAAATACCCTTTTATTCTCTCTTTTAAGTATTTACTCAGCAGCAAGTACTCTCACCATCCCATAGAGACACAGCTTAGCCTGTGTGAGAGGCTGTGCTGCAGAAACCCATTTTCAAAAAGCTCACATTCACCTGTTTTATTCAACTATTTAGCTTTATGCTTAACCCCAGTGAAATGCAGAAATTAGCTGTCTGAATAAAGAATACACAGGAAAAAAACCCTGACACTCATGTCTGAAATGGGTTCTCAAATATGCTCAGCAACTGATGATGTACCCAAACTAAGCACTGTGCCTGCATACATTTCATTCTTCTCACCCCAACAAATTACATTCAGATTTAATTAATCCAGCCAAATACTTATTTGCACATTCATAGGCAATGACAGCATTACAAATATATAATAACAGATAGAATGCCTTTGGGTTTATCAAGAAAATAAATTTATAAACACAGCTATAGATTTAAATTATTTATTTTGTTGTTCATCCCCTTTTTTTTTGGTTACCAATTACCTTTTTAAAAATTGCATGAGCTTAGGAGTAGTTTATATCAAGGTGTAGATTTTATGAACCTGCCTTACTGAGCCACGACTCCAAAGCAACAGGTGCCATGAATGTGAAACTTATTCTTAGTATTCTTCACTTCATGGAGGCTAATTTTATAAAATCTTCAGAAAAATAACTGCTTCCATTTCAGCATATTTTTGAGGAAAATAAATGGCATCTCTGCAAGGCTTTCACAGAAAACTAGTAAGAAAAAGCAAAATTTCAGCCGTGTATTAAGGTTTGAACAGATGCTTTCAATATATGAACTGTCTGCTACCTAATTCAGTCAGTGAGAAATTCCTTTTCTTCACTTAACATGAGCACATACTACCAGATATAACACAATTTACTGATGACTTACTCAAACAGCATCATTTTCTATTCTATTTTCTTCTTTTTGAAAGTCAAAGCATATTCTGGAAGCACCAAAATTCTACTCAATCTTTTCCAATATCGTTTCTCCCTGTAAATTTTACTATCCTGTCACCAAAATCACTCCAATGCCACATCCCTCCTACACAGCATTAATGAGTATTTCAAAGATCACTTATCTAGCAAACTTATAAACTAAATCAACTCCAGAATACTGAGCTCAACTCCTGACTGTGTTCTCAAATTGTTGAGCACATTCCAACTCTTCATCACAGGCAAGCATGGAACATTTTTATTAATTTAGGTAATGAGTAAAATTACAAACCACAAAATTAGGGTCAGGAACTCAAAAAAGCCCTCAACGTTTTCATGTGTGTTTGTCTTATGCAAGTTTTTGAAGACCTCCCTGTCAAACTCTTTTAGTTGCCACAGGAGATTATCTACAAACCAAAATGGAAGTGATAATTTGAAGTGATCCAAGCCCTCTGGACTACAATTAGTATTTCATCAATAGACCTGAAATAAAACTCAAAGCTCCACCTGAGAATTAATAGAATGTAAAAACAAGTCCTATTTCTGGATTCAGTGCCCCAGTGAGCAAAGGTAACATTTAAATTGCAAGAATCACTTTATCACCAATGATAAACTCGTTTCTGCTGCATAAAGGTCTCTTCCATCACTTAGCAAAATTACTAAACAAATTAATGCCCATCCAACGTTTACTAATAGAGAATTTATCTATCTACGCCCAATTTATAAACGACGACACTCCTCACAACGAAAATGCTTCAAGCAAAACAAGTCACCGGATCTCACGCTTCCATTTGGCAAGAAAATAAAGGAAAAAAAACCCTCTCAGCGTTAATATACGCATTGCATCGTATTTCTGAAAACCCTACGCCGAGCAACTCCAGATGCTTCCTCTGGACGCATTCACAAGCTCCACGCAACCAAGGGGAGGGGCGGAGGCCGTGCGGCAGCGCAGCACAAAGCCCCCGG